AAGGGAGCAGAGATTTAGCCAGCCCACGTTTATAACATCGAAGTCAACATCAACTGGGGAATCTTGGCGAGCTGCAGGGTTTAGGACGCCTGCCGCCTGTTAACTAGTGATTGAGATATCTCCGCCAAACCGGCACTCCTGCCACCGTGGCAGATTGCATGGTTGTACATGTTCTTAATCAGTGACAAATATTAGCCCAGCTGGGTCAAAGGAGGATTTTCGAAGTGATAAACACGCCTGGCAGACAATTTCCAGGACCATGTGGGAGAGTGGAAGAAAATAAATTATTCATTCTTTCCACTTCCCTTTCTGAGGTGTCTACGATGGCCTCGGGGCAGATCAGGGAAGGAGATGCAGCACTGTTCCATCTGAACGGCAGCTCTTCTCCTGTCTTCTCCTGTCCGAGAGTCTCCCGTACCCTGGGGCTGGTCCACACAGGTTCAAGAGAGCCAATGCTGCAGTTCTCTTTCTAGGCTTGCAGGACCCGACATGAGGGGCTTGACATCAAACACTGGGCGACTACTGATCATGGGGCTTCCGGAGCAAGCAAGCTGGTCCCTGAACATTAGCAATATTCTACCCTTCCCGGGCCCAAATAAGGCGCTCGTGTACACCCCTCCCGCTTGTCTCCAGCCACGGTCTCCTCGCTTCTCCCACCCAAACGCACTGCCACCTGCCTCCAAATCACAGCCCTTTCGCTTAATGGCTGTGGGAACTTTGTTTATTTCACCTCGCTGTGTTTATTTCCAAACCAAAGGCAACATAAAGACTTTTTCAGACACACAAGAGTTGAAATGCACTTGGTCATGGCAATCCACTGCAACTGGAGACCCAGGTGCAAGCAGTAGGAACCAGGGCTCCCACTGTGACCACCATTGGAGGCATTTCTTAAACTCACCTCATAGCTTAAAGAAATGGTATTACCAAAGGACAGGCCTTACCCACAACGTAAAGTCACACCTACAATCCAGGCAATGTGAGGCACTGAAACGTCTGAGTTTAAAAATACACTTAAGCCAGTATCTTTTATACCTTTCAAGAATAAAATTCAATGCGATTGCTAACAGTATTTCCAAATGCTAAGCAGACCACTGTGTTTCAAGAGAGCTTTCATTTTCTTAACTACAATAACCTTCTGTATATTCAGAAACAAGCACAAGCTGAGCACCCCAATCCAAAAACCAGAAATGTCAAATGCTCCAAATTAAAAGCTTCTGCAGACTGGGCACTGTGAGTGGGAACTTCCATAGTGACCTTCAATACCAAGTTATGACTTGTCAAAATGCAAGCATCCTAAAAACATTGTACAGAATTATCTTCAGGCTGTGTGCAGAAAATGTACATGAAACAGAAGCGAATTGCATGTTTACAGTCGAGTCCTATTCCCCAAGAGTGTACAAATATCTTAAAATTTCAAAAAATTGAAATCCAAAATATGTCTGTCTCTAAGCATTTGGGAGAAGAAATGCTCAGTGTGTCTCAGACCTCACCTCACCACTCCAGGTCACAGCAACGACATAAAGGTCTTGGAGCAGCCAGATTAGCGATACAAACAGAATCTTAGATGTTCACTGGCCTTTTTAAGCAAACTTGTAAGTCAGCTACATGACAAGTGCCTGCTCTCTGGGAGGCTGAAGCAGGAGGATTCCAAGTTCGAGCCCAGCTTGGGCAACTTAACACCGTGAGGCCCTGTCTCAAAACTAAAATTAAAAAGGGGCTGAGGATATAACTCAGTAGGAAGGCCCTGGATTCAATCCTCAATACCAAGCAAACAAACAAAAAAAAAGTGTCACAGAGCCCTGAACCAGCCACAGTTTGCTTTGTACCACCCTCGCTCCCAGTCCCCAACACACACCCAGTACCCAGTACTCTCCCACGTTGCCATGGCGATTTCACGTCCTTCGCCCCCAAGATGTGAGTACTCTTACTTTACTTGCTGTCCACTTGAGCTCTGTCTCCCCCACCCAGGCTGCATGACCCCAGCAGCCGGGGCCTGGCGTCACCTGGCCCAGCCACTGGCTTCTGTTCAGAACTGATAAACACCTCGCGAGTGAACCACGGAAGGTGTGAACATGACCGTCTGCTGGCACAGTGCTTCCGTGACAGACACATTCAGAGCTCAGTCCTGGTGCCGGTGTCCATCTTTCTCAGTGACCGCTGCACCAGGGGATGTCCCGCCACTCACACGCCCTACCAGCCTAGCCAGGCTCCTGGGCTGCTGCCCCAGGTAGGACCGTGAACGAGCCGGGAGATGGAGCCACTGTGGACCCAGGCCTCGGGCCAGGGCTCATGTGGCTC